TTCTGGCTGCTCTCTCTGTAGTTTATCACTCAGTACCTTACACTGGGCTCATGGTATTCTAGGGGCTGATTTTTTTGCATTGTCATCGGCTGGATCACAATTCCCCCCCCCCCCCCCCCATATCCAGATATCAACAGGGAATTAACCAACCAGTCCTCCTTCCTCTCTTTCCCAACTGCACAGGTGATTTATTTTTTCTAATGTGGACATGGTAGATAAGAAAGAAAAAATACCTTTTCTCCTTTTCACATGTTTAACCTCGTCTGGCAGGAATAAGGCGTGTTTAAATGATGACACTCAGAAACTGACGTATATCTCTGGTGAGCCCTCTTTCCGTGAGCCTTGGCTGCTTGCACGTGAGGAGTGCTGGCCTCACCCAGTGGCCGTGTCTAAGCGGCTGCGCATAAACAGCAGGCCCTGCTGGCCACCAGCTCCTTGTGCTGGCCACCGTGTTCTTACTGAGTAGTGGATGGCGTCCTTGAGGGTCTGCTGTCATGAACGTTACACTCAGCCTCTCAAATGACTGTGTTCGCCCTTGCTTCCCGGCTCTCCCTCTGCCCCTCACCCCTGTCGTTGCCAGGGTCTTCAGGCTCCACACAAAGGCGCCTTCCTCCCTTCCTCCTGCAGGAGCTCTGCCCTCTCAGCCTAGGTTTCCCCGCAGTTCCACGGTCTGCTTAGAGCTAGCTCTGAGCCGCGGCCATGTGGTGCCGCACCTTTCTGTGCGGGGTCCCGTCCGGGCTCTGGACACCCTGTCTTTGCTTCGCTTCGCTCCCAGCAATGGGGGCCTGGAGCCCACCGGCAGACGCACAGCCCCGCACGCTTTCCCGTACCTGCTTCTTCCCTGTCTCCGCCACAAGATCACAGATCCTAGCTTCCTATTCCCTGTGGTCCCAAACAGCGAAATAGTGAAATATGGGTACAGAGGAGAAGGAAAGGGTCCTTGGCACTGCATCCAGAGTCATTCTCGTGACCGAGCCCTGCCCTGCCCTCTATTTCCAGAGAAAGGCTGAGCCTGGTGATTACCCACCCTCCCCATTCTTGCCCTTTAAGGTCCCACCTAATACCCCCCCCCCCCCCAGTCCCTCCTTTATTCTCTTTAAGGCAACTGACTATTGGAACTCGAAGGGAGTGACAAGACGGCAGGCTGCGGTTCGGTGGCACCTGTGTTCAGGAAATGTGAGAGGCCGCCACGTGGTCATGCCTGCAGGGTTAGCATGCTTCTGCTGCACATCTGGTTGGGTTTGGAAACGGACAGCTACTGCTGTCCAGGAAGGGAGAGCAGAGCTCAGACAGGCAGCAGGCTGGAGGGCGGAGGGAAGGAACAACCTGGAGCTCTCGAGAGGATAAAGAACACGGGGTGGGGGTGGGAGGTGCACTGCAGACAGCCCACTGTGGCCACCAGAGGAGAGCCCTCCGGCTCGGGGAGGGGGCAGAGCACCCCACTCTCCAGGAAGCAGAAGCAGTCTCAAGGAGCAAAAAGGAAGACTGTGATAGAAGGCCACAGTAAATAGCAAGATGTGGGCCCAAGAAATCCTGATTAGGACTACCAGAAACTCAAAGGGACGGCGAGAAATAAAATCTACATGGGAGGCAGTAAAACCCCAAAGTGACATCCTGTCGAATTGACAGAGTGGTGTGGAAAAAACACTTGACAAGCCACTTACTATCTGCTCAAAGACCTGAGAGAGGAAACACACGGGAGAGGAGCAGAGGAACCCGCGGAGCCCGAGGAAGCGGAGCCGGCAGAGCTCTCTGGAAATAGGGACAACACCCCAGGTCTACAGACACTAAAACCCTCACCTCCACCGGGACCACCAAGGGACCTGCGGGGGCGGCAGCTCCCGCGTCCCCAGGGAGAAGCAGCACAGGATCCCCCCACCCCCACTCCAGAGAGCAGCCTGGGTGCTATGGGGGAGGAAGCACTTCAGCCTCGGCAGAAGTGATGCCAGTCGCCCAGCATGGAGAGTGGGAGCGAAGGGCGGCGCAGCTGCCCTGACCGGCCCTGGACGCTGGAATCCCAGCACGCGGCTGCAGGAGCACAGGAGGCTTGTGACGAGATGTCCCAATCTCAGGTTGGTGGGTTGGTTTGTCACTGAACCACCGGAACCCTTCATGTGGGACAGGGGCCCTTGCGGCGTGGTCTCAAGGTGAGGCCATGGCTGCTCCTCACCCCCACTGCTGCAGACAGCGCCAGGACCTCAGGAGGGAGCTTCCGGGTGACAAGCTGGTGTCCTCCCGAGGCACAGTGACAGATAAGTGTGTGCAGGGCACCCCGACAAATAGAGAGGGAAATTAAAAATGTATTGTTTTCTATAAAACCACAGCCACCCAGAAGAAATCGTAATAAAAGCTGTTGGTCAACAAGAAAGAGAAAGCAATACAATTCCTCCGACTGTAATATGTGCACATCTAAAGTACCTTGGTGCAACCAATACACATGAAAAAAAAATCACAGCCTGTGGGGAGGAGCCAGCAGAAGGGGCATGAACACAGAGGGTGGGTGAGGATGAGGAGCCCAGGAGTGCCAGGGGTGAGGGAAGGCCCGAGACAGGAAGTTCCATCAGGACACGCTGTGTGCTCGCATGGAAACCTCCACCTCAGGAACTCAGGTGTGGCTAGAGGTCTAGACAGCCAGGACGGTCCTGAAAACCCGCCAGACCTGACCTGAAAACCACAGTAACCAAGGGTGGGGGGTATGGTTCGAGTGACGTCCATGCCCACAAATTTCAGGCACAGACTGCAAGCCTCGGGTACCGCCAAAATAATGAAAACCTAGAAAAATCCATAGCTTGTTAAACTTTTCGATTCTAAGGAGCCTAAAGAACCATGCGACTTTAATGCCACTTGTTCCTTTCAACAGGAATGACCGACCAGCCGGGAGGAGCAGCCTGCTTTGAAGCAGTCTCTCCATGGCTTCTAGTCCAGGGCTTGGGGTGCTTTGCTGAGGGAAGCGTGGAGAGGAAATGGTAGGGATGCAGGCCCCCACCCACGCCCCTGCGCGCACTGTGGACCAGGCCCTGCGGCACGGCTTGAGCTAGCGTGCATGCGGAAGAAGTGTGTTTCCTTCTTGCAGGAAGGCAGAACCTGGTGTCCGGGCCTGGGCTGGCTCTGAAGCCCTGTGCGCTGCACTGGTACCAGCCAGTGCAGAGAGAGAGCTGAGCTGTGTGCCTGTGTTTCCTAAGGGTTTTGGGGGGTGGGGGTCATCAGTTTCCTTCCTCGTCTGGACAAGGGATCTTCTGGTCTAGTTTTCTGAGGATGGCCAGCTTCTCTGGGACTGGAAGCGCCCGGGCCACCCCCGGACACCCCAAGCGAGCACATGCTATTGCCCGGGGTTCTTTATAGCAGGGCGGCTATAAACGGTCATGCACCGCAGCCTTCCCTGAAAGAGGACCTGGTCCTGACAGCCTGGGACCCATGGCCAGAGCGGGCCACGGGGGGGTGGGGGGGGGCGGGGAGCGCGGAGCGGGGCCGCACGGAGGGGGGGACGGGACCGGGGCGGTGGGTGGCCGCGGGGAACCGGGAACCGGACCGTCGGGCAGAAGCTGAGCATTCCTTAGCGATGCCCCCAGGCCCAGCCCCTTCCGGAGCCCGGGGGCGCCGTCTCCGGACACAGAGCTGGGGTGGGGGGGCGGTGTGCCAGTCCCCTCCGGACTTCAGAGGGGCCCGGGTCCGGGTCCCCTGGGTGGGAGGTCGGAGATCCCGTCGCGGGGTCCATCCTCCTTGCCCCCCCCCTCTCCACCTGGACCCGCGTGTGAGCGCCCAGGCGCGGGCTGGGGACGGAAGCCCGCGCGGCGGTGGGGAGGTGGCTCGGTCCCCGCGTCCGGGCAAAGGAGGCCTTTCGGTGTCTCCGGCCAGCCTGGGACCCCGTATCCTGGACATCAAAAGCGAGCGAGCGGGGTGTGTGTGAGCGGGACGGGGAGCCCCCTCCCCAACGGTCCCGGGTTTCCGGGCGGGGACCGCCGGGAAGGACCCCTCCCGCCCGGCCTGGCGCCTTCCCCGGCTGGCTTTCCAGAGTCAGGGCAGGCGGGACCCGGGTCCGACGCGCAGCTCCCGCGGCGGAGCGCGTCCAGCGCTCCCCGTCCACCCGGCGGCCCCGCCCGGGTCCCCGTCGGAAGCCCCGGCTGCGGGGCGGGCGGGCGAAGAGGACGGGGAAAGCCAGGCCGCGGCCCGGTTCCCGCTTCCTCCCCTCCCCGGCCGTCGGAGGGACGTGCGCGGCCGGCGGAGCTTTTCCTGCCCCTTGCCACCCTCCCGAAGGTAATAACCCAGTGCGCGGGCCGGGCCGCCGGGCGCTGGCGGGGAGCGCCGCCGTCGGCGCGCAGCGGGCCGGTGATCGGGGTCCGGGTCCGGCGGGCCGCACGCCCCTCCCCGCCCTGCCCGCTCCCGCCGCTCTCCTTTCGGGCCGTCCTGCGGGGCCACCCCCCCACCAGTGAGGGCGGCGGGCGCGCGCGCGGCCGGATCCACGGTGCGTGGCAGCGTTCGTGGCCCAGAACCGGCCGGGACAGGTGTGTGGGAAGCCGAGGGGCCGGGGGTCCCGGCGGGGACGGAAGGGGACGGAGGCGGCTTCCGCCCGGGCGGGGAGCGCGCGGCGGCGGGGGGCGGGCGGGGCGGCCCGCGCTCCTCCCTCCGCGCCGCTTTGATGGAGGTGCAAACATTTGGGGGGCGGGGGTGCCAGGCCGGGCGCGCAGGGACCCCGCTCCCAGGGGACGGACGCGGGAGCTCGCCGCCCCCCGGCCGCCCGGCCCGCCGACGGGTCTGATATGGCCGCGCGCCGCCAATGGGCGGCCTCCCGGCACTTCAAAGGGCCCGCGGCCCAATCCGCCGCGCCCCGGCCTCTATTTATGGGGAGGGGCCCCGGCTGGGGGCCCCAGAGAGCGAGCCCGGCGCCCCGCGCGGGTTCAAGTGGAAGCGCCGCTCCCCGACCCCCCCCCCCCCGCCCCGGCCCTGCGCGGACGCCCGGACGGCGAAGGTGGCCGTGGGCTGGGAGCCGTCGGGGCGGGAGGATGAGCTCCCCGGGCGGCGAGGGCGCGGGGAAGAGCCTGCAGTACCGCGTGGACCACCTGCTGAGCGCCGTGGAGAGCGAGCTGCAGGCGGGCAGCGAGAAGGGCGACCCCACGGAGCGCGAGCTGCGCGTGGGCCTGGAGGAGAGCGAGCTGTGGCTGCGCTTCAAGGAGCTCACCAACGAGATGATCGTGACCAAGAACGGCAGGTACGGCGCGCGCCGGCCGGGGCGGGCGGTGGCCGGCCGGCCTTGGCCCAGGCCCCGGCCCGGAGAGCGCGGGTCCCCCGGGGGTGGCCCCGCCCGGCCGCGCCCGAGGTCCTCCCGCCGCGCCCCCTCTTCCAGGAGGATGTTCCCGGTGCTGAAGGTGAGCGTGTCGGGCCTGGACCCCAACGCCATGTACTCTTTCCTGCTGGACTTCGTGGCGGCCGACAACCACCGCTGGAAGTACGTGAACGGGGAGTGGGTGCCGGGCGGCAAGCCCGAGCCGCAGGCGCCCAGCTGCGTCTACATCCACCCCGACTCGCCCAACTTCGGGGCGCACTGGATGAAGACGCCGGTCTCCTTCAGCAAAGTCAAGCTCACCAACAAGCTCAACGGAGGGGGCCAGGTGCGCGCGGGCGCGGGCGCGGGCAGGGCGGGCGCGGGCTGCGCAGCCTTCCCCATTAAGTCTTCAGCGCTGTTTATGTTGGGCTGATGAGCATCACACCAGGGCTGGCACAACAGAAGCCCTGAAGACTGAGTGCAGGCCTGGAGCTCACGCAGCTCTCCCGTCTGGCCTCAGTCAGGGGGCAAAACAGTCACATTAAAACCTGTGGAGTAAGTTTGCGACATATGTGCATATGCATATATATATATATATATATATATATATATATATATATATATAAAAACTGGCCTGGACACTGTCCCCAAGCCTTTTCACTCAAGGCTGGTGTTCCACTTCTGATATTTTTGGTGGCTGATGAGAGATAGGAGGCTCATGGATATAACTGCCCCAGCTTCAAACTGAGATCCTCAGATCTCAGCCTGCTGACTAGCTAGGATTATAGGTGACAGCCACTGGTGACCAGTTCCACCATTTTTTTCTTTTTTAGTAGTACTGGGATTTGAACCCAGGGTCTCAGGCTTGCTACCGTACCTCCGGGGCTTCATCGCCTTCTCTGCCAGGCAGACCGAGGTGGCTGTGTGCGCATTCCCGGGCTTCAGTGGCACACAGCACCCCGCCTCCCCTCTCCAAGTCAGTTTGGAAATCATGGGTTATTATCCCGGAGGATCCCTTGACAGGACAGACGTTCTTTCTGCCTCTTGGGTGTGTCTCATCATGAGAGAAGGCTCTTGGTTGTTGTTGTCTTCAGATGGGACTTGGGCTGTGACCGCTCCTTCCTCTGTCCTCCACAGATCATGTTGAATTCTTTGCATAAGTATGAACCCCGGATCCACATAGTGAGGGTCGGAGGCCCGCAGCGCATGATCACCAGCCACTGCTTTCCCGAGACACAGTTCATAGCCGTGACCGCGTATCAGAACGAGGAGGTGAGAGAGGCCCGGGAGGAAGAGAAGTGGGAGAGAGGGAGACGAGGGAGGGCAGGAGGGAGCCCTCTTGGCTTGGGAGTCTGGAGATGGGACCCCTGGGTAACAGTTACGTTTTCTAGTTTAGTGAGATGGAAATGGAGGCTGAGGGGAGAAAGGTTAGAATAACCGTCCTCCCCACCCGCATTTCCCCTTTTACTTCTCATAAAGTTATATAAAAGCCGCACACATCCATTAGACGCTGGGAGCGCAAAGACGCATGAGGCATTTAGGTGAAATGCCGGAAGAATGTCTCCAGTGTGTCCCCTTGTTGTCTCCTGGAAGGAGAGAATGACACTCAACCAGATACACACACTGAGTGGGTTCCAGCCTCTGGAAGCAGCTCACCCCAAAGCAGAGAAAGTGTGTGACCACAAGCGCTAGCCTGGAGAGCCAGGGAGATGCTTTGAGCCATTCTCCTGATATACATGGAGTGTAGGTAGATTCTACCAGAAACTTTTTAGTTGCAATTCTCAGCCACTTGGGAGCCAAATAGAAAAAACATATCTGGAAAAGAAGTTGTAACTAGATTTAAATATTTTGTAACATTTTCCAATGTGTTTCTGTCAAATCTTTTGGTGAATGGGCAATATACTTGAAAATGTACTTTGTTTTTCAGATCACAGCTCTTAAGATTAAATACAACCCATTTGCTAAAGCTTTCCTCGATGCAAAGGAGAGGTGAGAGGACCCTAACTCTACTTCTTGGGAGAAGAGCCCCATGGAAAGAGACCCTTTGCTGAGCTTCCCTGTAACTGCTCCGTGCACTCTCTTGGCAGAAGCGATCACAAGGACATGATGGAAGAGTCGGGGGACGGTCAGCAGCCCGGATGCTCCCAGTGTATGGTTTGTTGCATTCTGGTTTGTCCTTGTGCTCGGCCTAGACCGGCTGACACTGGGGTCCCATGCTGAGCTGTGGTGTTTCTGTGTGTGTTTGGGGGTGGGGGTTGGCGGTGGTGTTTCTGTGTGTGTTTAGGGGTGGGGGTTGGCGGTGGTGTTTCTGTGTGTGTTTGGGTGTGGGGGTTGGTGGTGTGGTTTGTGTGTGTGTTTGGGTGTGGGGGTTGGAGGTGGTGTTTCTGTGTGTGTTTGGGTGTGGGGGTTGGAGGTGGTGTTTCTGTGTGTGTTTGGGGGTGGGGGTTGGAGGTGGTGTTTCTGTGTGTGTTTGGGTGTGGGGGTTGGTGGTGGCGTTTCTGTTTGTCTTTGGGGGTGGGGGTTGGCGGTGGTGTTTCTGTGTGTGTGGGGGTTGGGGTTGGCAGTGGCGTTTCTGTGTGTGTTTGGGTGTGGGGGTTGGAGATGGTGTTTCTGTGTGTGTTTGGGGGTGGGGGTTGGCGGTGGTGTTTCTGTGTGTTGGGGGCGGGGGTTGGCGGTGGGGTTTGTGTGTGTGTTTGGGGACAGGGGTTGGCGGTGGTGTTTCTGTATGTGAGGCACAGGTCCTGCTGCAGAGCTGCCCACCCTGGCTTTACCTGTCCTCAGCCTGCTCCTGGGAGGCTGTGGATTCTTACCCAGCACAGACCTGAGTCCTTTTGTTCCCGCCTGGGGGCAGTTGAGACTTGGGCTTGAGGAGAGTCTGGCCATGTGTTTGAGGGGATGGTGGAGATGGTCTCTCCTGTTGTTAGTAGTTGAAAACTAAAGAGCATTCCCTCCCTTGTCTGGTGTCTGTCACCAACCATGCATTGGTTCGGTGGAATGGCAGTTTGTGAGATATGGGTCATCGGGCGTTAAGTCTTCCTTCCTGGAGGAGCTTGAGCAAAGAGCGCAGGTCCAAACTGGCGTCTGTGAGAGTTCAGTCCAGCCTCCCCTCTGTGCAAGGAGGAATGCATATGTGTCAGGAGGGTAGGTGTGGAGGGAGGGTAGATGTGGAGGGAGGGCAGAGGTGGAGGGAGGGCAGGCATGGAGGGAGGGCAGAGGTGGAGGGAGGGCAGAGGTGGAGGGAGGGCAGGCATGGAGGGAGGGCAGAGGTGGAGGGAGGGCAGGGGTGAGGGAGGGCAGAGGTGGAGGGAGGGCAGGCATGGAGGGAGGGCAGAGGTGGAGGGAGGGCAGGCGTGGAGGGAGGGCAGGCGTGGAGGGAGGGCAGGGCTGGAGGGAGGGCAGTGAGGGCAGGGGTGGAGGGAGGGCAGAGGTGGAGGGAGGGCAGAGGTGGAGGGAGGGCAGAGGTGGAGGGAGGGCAGGGGTGGAGGGAGGGCAGGGGTGGAGGGAGGGCAGGCGTGGAGGGAGGGCAGGCGTGGAGGGAGGGCAGGCGTGGAGGGAGGGCAGGGCTGGAGGGAGGGCAGTGAGGGCAGGGGTGGAGGGAGGGCAGAGGTGGAGGGAGGGCAGAGGTGGAGGGAGGGCAGAGGTGGAGGGAGGGCAGAGGTGGAGGGAGGGCAGGCATGGAGGGAGGGCAGGCATGGAGGGAGGGCAGGCATGGAGGGAGGGCAGTGAGGGCAGGGGTGGAGGGAGGGCAGGGGTGGAGGGAGGGCAGGGGTGGAGGGAGGGCAGAGGTGGAGGGAGGGCAGGCGTGGAGGGAGGGCAGGGGTGGAGGGAGGGCAGTGAGGGCAGGGCTGGAGGGAGGGCAGGGGTGAGGGAGGGCAGGGGTGAGGGAGGGCAGGGCTGGAGGGAGGGCAGGGGTGAGGGAGGGCAGGGGTGAGGGAGGGCAGGGCTGGAGGGAGGGCAGGGGTGAGGGAGGGCAGGGCTGGAGGGAGGGCAGGGAATAACGGTCAGTGCTGGCAGGACACTCCAAAGGCTGCATGAAGGAGATTTTAAAGTCAGGTTTCTGGGCTACTTTGGCGGTGAATCTTGGAGAGAATCGCCCAGAGGGGTGAGGGGCGCCCACTGCGAGCCCTTCCCTCACTTCAGGGAGGATTGTGTCGTTTGGAAGTGGAGCAGAGTAGCTGCCTCCCTAAGAATTGCTTTTTCTGAAGTTTAGAAAAATACACTTTTTTTTTTTTTTTTAATTTGTTGGTTGTGGGGCTTGAACTCTGGGCCTGGGCGCTGTCCCTCAGCTCTTCGGCTCAAGGCAAGCGCTCTACCACGTGAGCCACAGCACCTCTTTCGTTTTTCTGGTGGTTTATTGGAGATCAGAGTCTCAGGGACTTTCCTGCCCAGGCTGGCTTTGAACCGCAGTCCTCAGATTTCAGCCTTCTAAAAAACCATTTTTTTTTTTAAAGAAAAGAAATAAAGTGGGGATTTTAAAGGAAGCCGGGACCGTCTTGGGAGGCTTTCTGATGAGAAGCAGAGCAAGGGTGGGGCGGGGTGGGGGAAGCAGAGGGGAGCCGGCAGGGAATGCCAGCCAGGCAGGGTAGAGACAGCGGCCCTGACACTTGTCTGGGCAGAAGTGGAGAAGGCACCTGCCTGTCTCTCCTCCGCTTCTTGCCTTTGTCCTCTTGTATCCATTAACCTGCTCCTTGATGGGTTAAGGAAAGCCTCCTGTGGGGCTAGCAGGGAGACAGTGAGTTTCTGGAACCAGCCAGGGCACTCCAGAACCGGGCAAGGAGTGGACCGGCCCCATGCTTCTTGGGTGCTCGCTCAGTGAGTTGAACCCTTGCTTGTGCGTGGCATGCAGGGTGGGGCCATGCTCTCTGATGTCCTGGGGGGGGCGCTGCACCCCCGCGTGGGCACTTAGGACTCTTCCCTTCTGAGCAGGAGACCCCAAGTCTCTGCTCACTGAACAGAGCCAACACAGATTCCAGCTACTTAGCGTTCTCTTCCCACAGCAGGGGGGTGGCTCATTCCTGGGGCCGGCACCCTCTGCCCACCGGCCAGCCCCCACCCTCAGTTCGGCGGCCCCCTCCCACTCCCCTCGGCGCACGGCTGCGAGAGGTACCCGGCCCTGAGGAATCACCGCTCATCACCCTACCCCAGCCCCTATGCGCACCGGAACAATTCTCCAAGTAAGTCTAACCCTGAGTCAGCTGGGGGTGGTGGGAGGATCGGTGACCCCCGGGGAGAGCCACTCTTGGGGGCTTCCCGGCAGAACACAGTTCTTATTGGACTCAGAGGAGCCTCACGTATCCCAGCCTCCCCTCAGCCTCCTCCCAAGGGGCACACCAGGCCTCGCATGGTGTCTGGTGTGGCTTAGAGCACACTCAGGTTTGCAGAAGGACAGAGTTCTGGGCCTGGCCACCAAACCAAATGTTCACCCCCAGGAGGAGAGGTTTTGTGATTCTCTCTGTCCTGTGATCATGTTGAACTGGGCATCAGTGGCTCCCCCAGGGTGCTCTCCAGCCCCACACCGGTGGCAGGGCCCAGAAGCTGGCCGGGTCTCAGGCCCCACCAGACTCAAGGCTGGGCGCTGGGCTCTGGGACAGCCCCTGAAGACCCCAGGCTAATTCTCTCCAACATTCTGCGTGCTCAGACTCACTTCTGTCTGCTGAACACCATAAAGCAATTAAGCAATTACAGCTGATTTGAGACAAAAGGAAATAGTCCTCGGAACTTGTTCAATCAAAGGCTAGACTCCGAAGCAGGAAGATCATATTTTTAATTTGCACGGAAAGGGCAGGTCGAAATAACACTTGGATTTTTGTCATGTGGCCTGGCACTAATCTCGTGTGTGTAAGGCCCTGGGTTTGATCCTTGGCACTGGAAAAAAAAATTCCCTAAGTACATGGTTGCAGGATTCAGTTTCTGCCAGGCAGCAGCTGATCTAACGATCAAGGAAAAAGTAATTGTGTTTGGCAATAACTATTTCTAGCAAGCTAATGGATTCTTTTCTGTATTTAATATCCCGTAGGCCAGTGGTTTTGAATGCTGGCTATCTTCCTAGCTGTATGTGGGTATTTTCTCTGTGCTTTGTTGTTGTAAGACCCCGCCCACCCCTTCTTCTGCATCCCTCAGCGTATCCGGACAACTCGTCTGCTTGCCTGTCCATGCTGCAGCCCCACGACAACTGGTCTAGCCTCGGAGTATCTCCCCACGCCAGCATGCTTCCCATGAGCCACAGCTCCAGCCCGTCCAGCTCCAGGTGTGTGTGCGTGGGGCGTGCTGTCACGTTCCTGTGCCCTGTGCTCTTCCCTTTCTCCTGGTCTCTTCTCCTCCTGCTGCTTGAACCTGTGGGTGGTCCAGTTTTTATTGGTAAGTGTGCCCATAGCTGGTTCCATGACTGCTGACTGTGTGCTCGCTGGCTGTCCCAGGAACCTCTCTGTTGTGGAGTGAGCTATGCTTCTCTCTACCCTCGCGAGACCAGAGCCCTTAAGTGGCTGCTACGATGACTCAGTCTCCTAACTTCTGTGAGTCTTGGTTTTTCCATACATAAAAAGGAGACACTAAGGCCGGGCTCTGGTGGCTCACGCCTGTAATCCTAGCTACTCAGGAGGCTGAGATCTGAGGATCGCGGTTCAAAGCTAGCCCGGGCAGAAGAGACCGTGAGACTCCTATCTCCAATAAACCACCAGGAGAGACCGTGAGACTCCTATCTCCAATAAACCACCAGAAAACCGGAAGTGGCGCTGTAGCTCAAGTGGTAGAGCGCTAGCTTGAGCTGAAGAGCTGAGGGACAGCGCCCAAGCCCAGAGTTCAAGCCCCACGACCGACAAAAAAAAAAAAAGGAGACACTAAGTCACCCCACTGTCTCTCTTGCAGGGTTGTTGGGATCAGTAGATGTAGTTTGAAGAAATGATAGACTTTCCCAATTAGAGAAAGCTGTTCAATGAAGGAAATAAGCGTGTGGGCTTTTCTGTGGCTGTAGAATTGAAGTCTTTATCCATGTGCCGGGCAACAGGTAAAGGATGGTGACTATTTCATTAACAGTCCATTTTGTAGTGAGAGAATGGCTTTAAAAATACCAAGCAGGTGGTAATACAAAGACGTAATACAAATCCTTCTCCAGGTGTACCACTCTGTAGGACTAAGATAGTAAGAAATAGCAGAGTTCGCTGCCACTCCGCCTCCTCTGATGCCGGTCGGCCTGAGATGCAGTCCTGTGGGTGGACCTGAGAAGCCGCGCACTTGGTGTTCTGTAGAATATTGACATTTGCCTAAGGTCTTGGCTCTGTTTTTTTTTTTTTTTTTTTGGGTCCAGTCGTGGGCTTGAACTCTGGGCCTGGGCGCTGTCCCTCAGCTCTTCAGCTCAAGGTTAGTGCCACTTGAGCCACAGCACCACTTCTGGCTTTTTTTTTCTGCTTATGTGGTGCTGAGGAATCGAACCCAGGGCCTCATGCATGCAAGGCAAGTGCTCTACCACTGAGCCACCTTCCCAGCCCAAGCTCTTGGATTTTGTTGCTCAAGAAATGGTACTTGAATAACCAGAGTCAAATTGTCTGTCTTCAAAATAAACCAAACAGCTACTGACAGCCTATTTTTCAAGGGTTGTAGGTCATTGCTCGAGATGCAATGCCAGCTGACCTGCAGGTTACCAACTGCTGAGGTCCCCAGAAGAGGGCAAGGACCCTGCGACTGTGTGGGTGCTGCAGCCCTCCCCTTGCTGCCGGATCAAGTGCAGCTGCAGTCTAGGGCGCGTCTTTCTACTTGCAACTTGCTAGTTGTTTACAGTTTAATCAGCCCTCCTTTTTTACTTTGTGGTACTGAGGATTGAGCTTGCTGGGTGAGCACTCTACCACTTGAGCCACGACCTAGCCCTTTTGTTTGAATTTTGTTTTTGAGATGGGGTCCTCCAACTTGAGATCCTCCACCTCCTGACGGTTAGGGTTACAGGTGTGTGCCGCCCACCCCGGCCTGCAGGGCAGGTCTGATGGAGCACCCCCGCTCTCCCACTGAAAGGCAGAGCCAGGGCTCTGGTCTCGACCTGGGTCTACTCCTTCCTCCTTGGGGACGCACCAGGTCACCGCACGGGCTCGGGCCTGCAAGCGCACTCTCCTGGAGAGACTGAGAGACGCCTTCTTCTGCCAGGTGCTGGTGGCTCCTGCCCGCAGCCTTGGCTATTCAGAAGGCTGACATCTGAGGATCCTGGGACAAAGCCAATCTAGGCAAACAAATCATCTCCAATAAACTACCAAAAAGCCAGATGTAGTTCAAGTGACAGGGCACCAGTCTTGAGGGGGGTGGGGGGAAGCTAAGGGACAGCTCCCAGGTCCTGAGTTCAAGCCCCAGAACAAAACCAAATGATTTTTTTAAAGCTTCCCTTGGCCCACATTCAGGGGTTTCTCCTCCCTCGTGGGGATTACTGCTGTGAGCGAGCATGCCGCTCACAAACTGAGGGGCTTCCCAGGTCTCTGGAACTTTCCATTCTCTGTCCTGGACACGAAGCTACTTTCTGAGAACCGCAGCAGTCTGCGCTGACTTTGGCCTACGCGAGCCATCTTTTTAGTTCGTTTCTTGCTCATAGACAAGGCTGCCACACATGTAACTGCAGGCACAGGCCAGGCGGTACTGCGGAGGATAGCTGTGTAGTGCAGCACGGTTGCGAGCCCCTGGGCAGCTTTCCTGGCTCCTGATGGCGGTGCTTTTCTGTTTCAGCCAGTACTCCAGCCTGTGGTCTGTGAGCAACAGCGCCATCACCCCCGCCTCCCAGTGTCCCCAGGCCGGAGTGTCCAGTGGGCTGGGGACCCCGTTCTTCCGAGGCTCCCCTGTACACTACGCACCCCTGGCCCCCGCCGCCCCCGGCCCGAACCCCGGCTCTCCGCTGTACGAAGGGGCCAGCGCGGTCACAGACATTCCCGACGGCCAGTACGACTCGGCCCAAGCCCGTCTCCTGGCCTCATGGACTCCCGTGTCCCCGCCGTCCCTGTGAGCCCGGCCCTGGTCGAGGAGCGCAGAGACTTCTCCGTGCCGCCCGTGCCGCGTGGTTGGATCTAGTAGGGTAGTGTGGAAGCTCCGGGCAGAGGGACAGGAAGTGAGTCCGAAGGAAGAGGAGGCGGGCATGGTCTGCCACCCTGGCTGGGCTTCAGGCACAGCCCACCGTGAGCCCCCAGTGCAGAGGTTATGGCTCAGTTCCTCCTCTAATTCAGTCAGCAGTCTCCTCCAGGCTCCCAGACCGCTGTGTCTATTTCTCACAGAGCATACAGGTGACTTCGGCACACGGGAGTGGGCACACCCCAGGGAGACCCCACTTTGAGATGCTACGCACGCAGACTTCACTCCCTTCCGTGTGGCTTACAAGTAGTTGAGCGCTGAGCTGTTCTGGAGAGGACGGAGGCGCCGTGAGGACAGCAGGTTTTGGTTGATCTGAACACCCGCCGCCTCCGCCCCGTAGAAGCCTCACGTTGAGCACATGTAGCTTCCCGTGTTGGGAAATCAACTGTTTTGTATTTTTTCTTTTGACGAAGTAGCCAAAGACAATCCGCAGAAAGCATTTTCTGCAAAAAATAAAAGCAATACACAAGGTTTGGCTGGTGCAGTTTCTCTTTGTGAATGTGTCTTTGCTGTTTACTGTAGCTGGACATCTTTGACCTATTCTAAACGTTCGTACTGTATCTAATCAGTTGGAAGATTGGAAGTGAAATGTTTATAGACTCAGTACTAATTGCCACAAAAATGAGGCTATGCTAAATGACTTTCAAGAGGTTTAAGTAACATTGAATCATAGATGAATATGGGTAATGAAGAATCCGTGCAGCAGGGAAGGACAGTCAAGATGAGCGGACAGGAGTTGCTGAAGTGTGGTTGTGTATAACTTGGAGGACAGGTCATGGGTGCCCATGTCTCCCGCTTGTTCCCGGCAGCCGGGCAGAGGTTTGGGTGCTGGATGGGGCAGTTGTTCCCCCTAGTGGCGGAATCCTCAGTCAACACTAAGGATGATGGCGGGGCAGTTGGCACGCAGGAATGCTGAACCAAAGGTGGCCTTGGGCATATGGAGAGTCAAGATGAGATGTTTGTGGGCCATAAGGTAGAGTGCTTGCCCCGCATGCTCAAGGCCCAGGGTGAGATCCCCCAGCGCTGATAAAATGCTGAGGGAGAGCCGGCACGGTGCCTCTCGCCTGTACTTCTAGCTGCTCAGGAGGCTGAGATCTGAGCATCCAGGCTCACAGCCACCACAGGCAGGAAAGCCTTACCTCTAGCCAGTAAAATTCTGGAAGTGGAGCTGTGTGGTTCATGTGGTAGTAGAGCACCTTTATGCAAGAAAGCTTAGGGACAGTGCCAGGCCCTGAGTTCAAGCTCTAGTACACAAAAACAAAAAACCCACAAACCCCCAAACTGAGAGACCCTCCCGATGCTACAGGGAAAGTTACTCTCCACGGGGCTTTGCCAGCTTTGTCTTCCCAGCTCTGCCGGGCACCCCAGAATACACACTCAGGTCTGCTTGATGGGCGGCCTGGAATGGAAGGATGAATGCTGGATTTTAGTGCAGTTTTTGCCTGTCATCCGGCGGGACATGGTTATTGTAAATGACTAGTTATTGTTGCTTGTGTAGAACTATCTCCTCACGAGAAGATTTGCTAACGTGTTGGAAGAGTAATTATGTTATTATTATTATTTATTTTAGTGAACCCACGGTCCATGGCAGATTTGGGGAACAACATTGGCCCCCTTGTTGGGACTCAGTACAGTAGGTGGGTCTTCTGGGAAGGAGGAGGGGAGACATTTGAGGAGGAGGCGGGGGAGGAAGGCGCCCCTGCTACCCTGTGGTCCACTCCCCGGCTGCTCAGACGGGCCACGTTCACCTCCTCACATCTTCAGCATGGTCACTCGTGGGGCAAAGGAGCCTGGAGAGCCAGAGGACTGTGGAGTTGTTTCTGGTGTGTCCAGGGACATGGCCTCCTCACCCCCATGGCTGGGGTGGGGAGGGGAGTTGCGTCCCAGCGCCCTTCCCCTTATGCTGTGGGATGACGAGCAGGAAGCTTTGTGGGTGGGTACTGGACAGGGCTGTAGCCTGAGTTCCGAAGAGTGCCCAGAGTTCAAGTTCAGACAACTCATATTTTAATACTCTAAAGAGTAGTGTCATGGAAAGTGCCTGAAATCTGATATGAAAGACCTGGATTTGGGCTGGGAAGGTGGCTCAGTGATAGAGCGCTTGCCTTGCATGCATGAAACCCTGGGTTCGATTCCTCAGCACCACATAAGCAGAAAAAAGCCAGAAATGGCGCTGTGGCCCAAGTGGTAGAGCGCTAGTCTTGAGCTGAAGAGCTGAGGGACAGCGCCCAGGCCCAGACTTCAGGCCCCAGGACTGACAAGAAATAAAAGACCTGGATTTGAGCTCAGTAATTCTCCTGCGTGGATGGGGTACATTCCAACCCCCGCCTACACCCCCCCCCCCCCCCCCGCCCCGTAGGTGTCCAAATCCCAGGGTTTGGAGCAAGCTGTGTCTTCAGAGTTTTTGGTGAAACATACCACAGACAGTCTGTTCCCCGCCCCCCCCCCCCCCCCCCCCGCCAGCGGGCACGCTACGGGGCTTCGCCCTCAGTCCCTTTCCATCATCTTAAACCAAAACTTTTGTTTATTTTTGTTTTTTAAATGTTTTTGTTATCTTTAGTAGTTGTACAAAGGAGTTGCACTCAACAAAGCCGTCTATGAAGATCGACACCACCCCTTTCAGCCTTCTCACCCACCACTCCCTGCCTGCTCCTTCCCTCATGCGTCTTGTTTTTGTAGGATTTACACTGAATTTCTGACTGCATTCTTTTTTTTGCCAATCCTGGGGCTTGAACTCGGGGCCTGGGAGCTGTCCCTGAGCTTCCTGGTGCTCCAGGGTAGCACTCTACCACTTGAGCCACAGCGCCACTGCCGACAGCATCCGCAACTGACCCGTGTGCTGGAATCCCTCGACTCTCCTGTTACTCTTTCCTCATTATCATGAGGTGGCGCACGGAGGAGCTACCCTTGCACGAGCCAGGTGTCGCGCGCATGTCTTTTTGGACAGCGTCACCCCTCCCCTCACTTCCAGTTTTCCCCTCCAGCCCCACCCACAAGTTGTATAATTCATTTTCATCATAGTGTCTGCTGTATTTGTTCACTCTTTGTCCCTCCGTTTCTGTGCCCTCCTTACTCCCCACAAAGATAAACATACGAGACAAAAAAAGGAAAGAAAGAAATCCCCCCATTTCCTGGAGTTCATCTTGATAAATATTTTATATGATGTTCCTCCCCTAAGAATATCCTTTGGTCTCGCTGTGTGAATGCCCAGAGTCCTGTGTAATGTACTATGTGGTCATGTACTTTAGATCTAGCTTCTCCACATCAAAAAGCATGTGCTGTTTGTGTCTGTGAGCTTCCTTACCTCCCTGAACATGAGTGGTTCTAGGTCCCTCCATTTCCCTGCAAATGACAGTCTTTCTAACGGCGATGTGGAATTCCTTTGTGTATAGATACCACAGTTTTTGGATCCACTCGTCTATTGTAGGTCATCTGGGCTGTTTCCATGCTTTGGCTATTGTGAACCGTACAGCAGTGAACCTGGCTGTGCAAGTGTCTTTATGGTATCCTGGCTTGTGATGTTCCTAGTAGATGCCCAGGAGTGGTAGAGCTGGGTCCTAGGGAAGATCTATGTTTAACTTTTCCAGGAACACCCACCCTGTTCTCTGTACTGCTTGTGCCAGTTTACATTCCAGTAGGGTTCCTTTCCCCGACATTTCCACCAACACTTGTTCAAATTCACAATGTTGGCCAATCTAACTATATAGTTTTTTTTTAGTCTAGTCCATTGATTTCTGCCCTAATAGTTACTATCTCTCTCTTCTGGTAGTTTTGGGTTTGGTTTGTTTCTGTTTTTTTTCTAGCAGCTTTAGTTGCAGCTAGAGGTATTTACTTGAGCTATTTCAGTTTTTTTATGTGCATGCTTAGAGCTATGAACTTACTTCTTCATGATGCTTTTGCTAACCCCAGAAGTCTCAGTATGATATGTTTCCATTGAGTTGTAAGAACATTTGGATTTCCTCCTTTCTTTGTTCAGTGAGTGACCCATGTGTTGCTGAACAGTGTGTGCCTGTTTTCTGTAGTATCTTGTGACATCTAGCTTGATTCCATTGTGATCGCCTAGGAACCAAGGAGTTATCTCCATCCTTTTGTGTTTTCTCAGGCTGGATGCCTGGCCTAGGATATGATTCATTTTGGAGAAGGGTCCAGGTGCTGCTGAGAAGAATGTGAGTTGGGTTGTTGTTGGGTGAAACACCCTGTAGATGTCTGTTAAGTCCATTTGAGTTATGGTGTCATTTAGTTCAGAGGCTTCGGTGCTAATTTGTTTGGTTGACCTGTGCTTTGTATCATTGTATGGAGGCCTTCCCTGTTGGGTAAGTCTAAGAAGGTTTGTTGGATGTATTTAGGTGTTCCATTTATTGACCACTGTGATTTCTCTTTCATGAATCATTCCTTTCGTGAATATGGAATGACCTGTTTTCTCTTCCTACCGATTTTAACGAGAAGTGTGTTTAATCAGAAAATATCGTGGCTACCCCAGCCTTCCTGCTGGATGCTTTTTCCATCCCTTCTCTTGGAATTTGTGTTTATCTTTGACTGTGAGATGGGTTTTTTGGGGACAACAAATGATTGGATCTTGCTTTTGGATCCAATCTGTTGCCCTCCATCTTTTGGTTTGAGAGTTGAGCTGGTTGATGTTTAACGTTACTATGGAGAAATATGTCATGTTTCCTGCCATTTTGTTGTTTTCTGTAGCTTGCTTCTTTCCTCTCTTGTGTTTACTAGTCTTCCCCTGGTTTTTATTCAGTGCTGTGCTTCCTTGACTTTGTCTTCTTCAGATTGTATGTTTCCCTTTAGAATCCTTTGTAGTGCTGGTTTAGTGTTCATGAATTCTTCTAGTTTTTGTTGTAAAAGGTTTTAGCTTCTCCATCAATTGTGACA